CGCGCCGATTCCCTTAAGATCAAGCGGGATCCGGCACAGGACAGTGATAGTGCGTGGTGGGTGTACATCCCAAACGTCAACTATGAGGAAGCAACCGATGTTGTAGCACGTGACGATTCCCTTCAGGTCAAGCGGGATTCGGCGCAGGACAGTGATAGTGCGTGGTGGGTGTATATCCCAGATCTCAACTATGACGAAGCCGTTCAGGTCAAGCGTGATACGACAAAAGACGCCGACAGCGCTTGGACAGTCGTTATCCCACTCCGCACGTATGACACGCGAGACTCTCTCCGCAACAAGCGAGATCCATCAAAGGATAGCGACGCTGCCTGGACGGTCACTATACCTATCGGTAATTACGATAACTAGGACTTAGTCGCCTCAAGTTCAGGGTCTTGTCAGATGCAAGCATGAACAGATCGCAACTGATCAATTACCCTATTAATCGACGATCATGAGGTTCCGGAACTCAAAGGTCTACTGGATTTTATGGATGCAGAATGAATGATATATCGGGATCAGAATCGGGTGCTATTCCTAGTCTTTAGAACTGATATCCGCTCCTTGAAACAGTTCTACTAGCTAGTATGATAGGAAAATGGGAATCTAGAATGCATTTTCCATGTTAATTTTCGGTGCATATCGATCTGTGAAAACCACCGTCCATATAAGCTTAATAGCTGCACGCTTGAAAGCTTAGGCGATGTGACAAAGTACTGTAAGTAAACGGTCCGTTAGATGCGTCTCGCTTGACCCTGATTCCCGAAGCCCGTCTTCATATTGTCCGAGATCGTAGTGCTCCCGCACGGGTATGCTCAACACCCTGGTTTGCATTGCAGGAAGAAAAGAACTAGTCCGTCAGGCAAATACGCTGAGCTGTTGTTAGAGCTGTACATTTCTTTTAGAAACATCTTCAACTTTCAGATATGAGGGTGGAATTGTACCAAGATTCAAATCAAGCTCTTGCTTTTTGAAAATTTCTCTCTATCACTCCGCTCATATCATTAGTACTGCTCTATTATATATCACCCGTGGGCGGTTAAACTAGAGGCACACCGGTCGAACTGTGTTTCTTCCGTTTCACATTTGTTGTATCTTGCGGTTCATGATAGGAAAACCTAGATTTTCCCAATTGCGTCTTGAACTCAAAACTCACGTATCAAATGCCAATTCTAGTATGTGATCCAATGTCGACCGCTTAGGAGCTCGTTCGGTGAATATAATCCTTGGGCATTCGGAATCACTAAGAGCCGAAAGGATGCACATACATCCGGTACATAACCGTGATGAAATTATACACAATCTCATGCAGCAGACAAGAACCTCTTATCCTGAATAATATCTCTACGGCAATTCATCCGAATCCGCTACGGAGGAGAATCCCAAATCTTCTCGCCCGGCAGAGGATGTAAGGCATACCGACTGGGCAGATCGGGGATCTGTCTCCGTACAGACCACTCCCTTATGCTGTCAAAATTTCGACAAGAGTGCAAAGTATTGAAGTTGGGATAGGGGTCAGCATGGCCTTTCACCCACCGATAGGGGATGATTGTAACATCTGCATCGCACATGAGCTTTTGGCGAAGCATGTCCGCACAGTGATCGAAATGATGATGTGTCGTGCGGTCTGAATCGGTGAACTCGGCAGATCGGTTCTTATAGTACTCGTGGTTCCAGATACTCGACTTGCGCATGAAGTTCTATTCTGGTTAGATGATAGAATTGATATTGATTGAGGGTGTGGTTCTGTACCAGACAGTGTAGATGATGAATCACTTCGAGAGAGCCCATGTATCCTCCTCCCGCCTCTTCTGGTACTTTTGTGGTCTCAATATCGTAAGGAATCGCTGCGTATTCTTCCTCTGTGATCATTGTCACTCGGACTTTGGACGTTGTGAGAATCTCAATGAACTGACTATATTTCTTGAGTAAACTTACACCCTTCAAGCTCTTGCCATGCCTCATTCAACTCTTCTCTTAGTTCACCTCGGAAGGGGGAATCTAAAATGATAGACCCATTGAACCTTACATCATGATAACTTGTGTCTATCTCAGCAATAGCAGGTGCTGTTTCGATCGTCAAAAGAAGCTCCTATAGAGTGCATTCATGATAAACTCACAATATGTGGAATGCATCTCGAAACATAATCTTTTCAAATCTTGACCGAACCATGGACCGATAACTGATCCAACAAGCAATGAGATGATTCCTGTTGCGGCACACAGTAAAAAGCACCCCATCCAGGACGGTCCATGTTGAAAAGATCTCTGAGATTTTGATGAGAGTGATGCCTCTTGAATTGAAAATTGCCCATTTTCATCTTCTGTTAAAGAAACCTTTTGGTAGTTGCAAACAGCCATTAGCATCAATATCTGCTCACAATTTTTGCGGTTCCACTAGCTCTTGCAATACTTCAAAAGTGCAGAGAAGAATGGAGATTCATGCTCTGCAGTTCTGGGAGGAGCGAGATGTTCGTGCTGACTATATTCCGAATGCATGGTTTCGACTGTTTGTACCCGGTGTACTGTACTTTGCTGTAGTTCAATATGTTTTAGCAGCGGGCATTAAAAAAAGGTGCGTTATTGAGTACTACCTTCCATATCTGTAGATGTGAGTAGGTATCTGTACAGTCGAAAGATTGGACTAGAATCGTACTAAGACGACATACTAGGGTCGGGTTGCGTGTGAAGGAGCAAGGAGCCTTCTAAGCGAGCGCGTATGCGATGCATAAGTTCAATATCCTCCGTATAATATACTGCATACAGATTTACAGCTACGGCGGATTAATAGTCTTATAATTGAGAGTTTACTGCTAGAAATATCGTATAGTTGTGTCCGAGGTCGATAATGAGATCGTCGCCAAACAGTTTACGCTTTTCCAATTTCACGGATAATCTAAATCGTATATGCATTCTTATTGATAAGGATCCAGATCGTGAAGTGAGTACAACTACATCATAGCTTAATACCGCGTTAAGATCAGCGGAGGAAGAACTGTGGAGTGTAAAGGGCATATATATCGTATGTACCTGATATATTTCGCAAGTAGTTAACGGGAGGAATTCGGAAATTCGTGATTTATAGCCTTGTGACACTGCGCCGATGGAAGAATACCGAGCAGACACTTTAAGAGTGTAGTTGGTATATTGCATCAATGCGGACGTAGTTCAAGGAATGGTCGTAGGAGTACGTCTGTCGCTGGTTGCAATTGTTAGAGACTATGAATATCATGCATATAAAAGGGACATTCATACATTAGCCTCGTTGCCACTGGTACTTACTGATTGATTGTAGGTTATCACATCCTTTCAGGTTGGACAAATGGTCCAGCCGCTATTTTTATCGTATAGCGGTGAGGTCAAGACGACCACCACCGACATAGTTTTTCCATTTGTGAGTACATAACTATTGGAGGGCTGAACTGTGAGACCGAGATTACCTAATCGTAACAACAATACTGCTAAGTTACATGTCTGGGCAACCTGACTAATATTGAGCTTTGTCTGGATTAGCCCATGAAGAAATGATCCATAGCTCTCTGTATTCCTGGGGTCTGATTTTAATAAGAATCTATATTTGGGATTATCTTCCTACAGCTAAAGTTGCCCACAAGAACGGGAACAGCAAGCTCATGATTCTTGTTTCTACTAGAACGGTATATTTGATAGAGTGAAATGGTGAAAGTCTAGAGCATTACTGAGGTCGGAAAAACGAGAGAGGTATAATGCATTTCTGTATTACTCTGTTGGGGTGGTTCCAAAGGAAGATTATTCGATAGAAATGTTTCGATAGATCGAAAAGATTGATCAAGAATCGCTTAGGGGATATTAGAGCGGAAACTGAGATTCTGTGAACAAGTATATGCGCTAGTCATACGTGATACTTATAATATAGGGTTACACCTCAGCTTCCCACTTTTATACAGGTGCCACGAATGTGAGACATTGAAGGTAACTACTCGTCCCTTTCATATCCAGACGCAATAGGTAAAGGAGAACCGTTGGAAAGTGGTATCGACTATAGACTATTCCGAGATAACTATCATAGCTTTGTGGTTAGCCCTAAAAATGTTTCAGACGGGATATTAGTCCTTCAGATCTGTCACTACGACGTAAATTAAAAGTAATTGAGAGGCTCAGTGCGGAACAATGACCTGAAAGGAGAACCTCCAAAGGATATACTTGGCTCAGATTGTTTTCCTGAAACTCGTCGAGCAGATCGCATATTTTCTAGCGGTATTTGTCTGGCAAATTACGGCGGTGTGTCTGCGCTACAGGCGTTTTTTCAGATTAGTGATCACATGACGGCACTCGTCCTATGCTAATATATTCGTGGTACGCGAAAGTATCAAGATCTAGAGCGAAAGGCTCTATACGATCTCTATATTAGATTTATGCTCGTTCCAGGGTGATAAACCGTTCCTCTTACCTTCCTACTAAATGGAGTACCACCCCCTGGAACCAAGCTGGAGCCTGAGGACAACTAACAGAGCTCAATTCATTGCTCGTGCAGCATCGTGGATATAGTAGGTAGCGCAGTACTTCATGTGCCTCTGATGTGTACTCGATCTAGGTACTGTTAGGGGTCAAACAAGTTTTTAGCCAGTCTAGAGGCATTCGAGAAATATAATTCTATATTAACGAAATGGTTAGGATAGCAATAAGGTCAAAGACGCACGTGAATAGAACTTGGGCTTTCACGTCGCTACTTTAAACGCTGACTTACAATATCTCAGGGGTCAAGTATCCATTCAGATCACCAGAAGAAAGACAGTTTTCTGGACTTAACATAGAAGTAATCCTCTCTATCCATCTAGAATGCTGAGGTGACCAGTATTGATTGTAGGCAAATGCTGAGGCTGGTGAAGTGGAGTATGATGACAAGAATTAGCGGAGTGTCGGGCTAGAGCTCGGCAGTAGGAAATATCCGTAAGCGGACTGTGTATGCTTTATACATAAGATTTTCGTCCACATTTTCTTTTGACATTTAATCGTAATTTGCCCGCATGGCTTAGTGGTACAGCGTCTCACTCGTAGAAAGTCATCTCGGTATGAGAAGATCGGCGGTTCGATTCCGCCTGTGGGCACGTGATCATTTTCTTTTGGCATTATTTTTGCAGTTTTTTTGTCTAGATTTGTAAGATCCTCTGTAGCTTCGATAGATGTTGTCCTTTACCTATGATTTTGGCTCAAACTGAGGAGTTGCACGCGCACTATGGGGTGGCCGAGTTTAAATCTAACTTTCCCCCTTTAGGATTAGCCTGCCTTGGCATACTCATATACTTCACTCGCCCGAGAACTTCTATCCTTTAAAGGCCTGAAGATGCTACCAAAGGGCCAGAGAAGATAGGGAAAAGCAGGTAGCAAAATCATTGGAACACCAAAAAATAAACCTAGTTGAGTGGTCCACGATACTAACAAGCCCTTGGTAACATCTTCAGGCTTTTAAAGGATAGGAAAATGTAGGATTCGGGCTTCGAAATCCAGCCTTTAGAATAAGAGGTTCGCCGAAATCAATTACGATTCCCCCATCAATCACTTAGGGTTTATTCTACCTATCTTCCTAGTTACGCTACTTAGGGGCCTCGAGCCTACGCAATCTCATGGTGTCGAGTTCCTAGGTGTAAAATATATTCCCGACTTTAGGAATTTTAACATTAGGAATTTCAACTTCAGGATTTACACTGGACGTTCAACGAATTATGTATTATTTCCTAATCCAGCTACTTAGGATCGCGTTTTCTTTCCACCATAAGATACGCCATAGAGACCCTCTCTAATTTCGACTTCAGGAATTCGGACTATAGGGTGAGACGTTCAACGAGATTGAATGCGAACATCTGAATATGCAACTAAAGTCTATCTAAGGACTACCTTATATAACTTCCATGGTCCGGAATTAATGAAGTGTGGATGTAAATTTACATCCTATTGTACCTATTCAATACCATCCAGTCTAAGGTTTCCCATCTCAAACATAATGCTGATTCTATGGTTTGGTGGATTGAGTACGAGACACGGAGTTGAATACTAGTACTTATTCGAGGAGATCATATATAGGTTCTGGATCAGGAATTAGCCAGTTGCTTTCTATATATCCCCAGAATGAGTTCACTTCCACATTTCCCCATATTCCCAAAGCTCTTGAAACTGGTGCTGATGTGATGAGACCTGCTACTGTTTTCTACCCGGTCCCACTGGGTCTCTATTATACCCCATAGGAGCTTACAACCAAGTGAACCAATACTTTAAGGGTTAGTCATATGGGCAAAACAGAACTTTGGTGTCTTGACCTATACTCATACCGAGGATATCCTATTTCCCAATCATTTTGTACGCATATTGGTTTCTTTCGACTTAAAAGTACGTTCTAGTCAGAAGATGCCATTTAGCTCTCCTTTTTAGTCGTAGAAATCCTCCTTATTTTTGTAACATTGTCCAGTTAATATCTCTTATCCTAGTTGGCGCATATTGTGCAGTGCTATCTGTGATATACTCTGTTAGTCCCACTTGGATCCAGTCACGCCATGGGACCGTTTGCGAGAAGTCTGATCAAAGCTGTAGATAGACTTATCTCTCAAATGACTTGCTCCCATATTTCAAATGATATGTTCTCTCAAACGTCATGCTTCAATTTTTCAAACGACATTCTCCAACCTCTAAACATCATACCCCGATTCACAAACCGATTCCAGGACGAAGACTCACCGGGAACGCGTGCACAAGAGAATGTGGGGGCTCTGGGTCTAGTATGATATCAAGGAGAACATTTATCAAACGAATCTCAGGGATACATGCATGAAGTGTACCTGTTTCAGTTAACTCATGTTCAAGACTCTGCCCCTCCCTTGGACTTCATTTCTTCTAATTACCTATCAATCTGAGATCGTCTCACTTCACCGCTTTGAGATCTAACCAGCGTCGCTAAGGCGCAACCCATATCTTCATGAGATCTCATTCAACGTTCGATCTCGTCAAGGTTTAGCCCTCAATACTTATTCTGCGATGTTCACTCTTTGGCAACCCAATATGGATGTGAATCATGATTCCACAGCTGATTCTCAACCTCCCCGAAAGAAAGTATGCCGCAACAAACCTAACACGCTAGTCAAATCCTTTGAAGATGCGGCGGAATCTATACGGACTCATATTGATAAGATGCACAAAGCGAAGGATCCGGCTCGAGAGCTCACGATTCTGAGGATCGTCTAAAGGAAGCGAAAACCGATTTTGCGACTCTCATAGCACCTTTGACGTCGCTTTTTGACGAGGTTTAACCTTTGCATCAAGGAGAATTAGGCATACCGAGAGAGATTCAGAAGCCTTTGTCAGAAATTGCCAATTCGCTTCACAAACTATATGGATCCAAAACTACCTCTCGTAAAATACTGTTCTTGGTATACAAATTAGCGAAATGGGACATCCCGCTCCATCCGAATTATCATAAGGATTTGAAAGAGACAATGGAGAAAAGTACATCTGGGAAGCGTCATTGAGAATTCATTTTCACTAACAGATTCTTTCGGAAACTCGCCAGTATATCGAAAAGGAACAATCCCCGGATCACTCCTCAGCTATTATTCCAGATCCGTCTCTTAACCCGGCTCAATGTCCGACTACTATCTCCAACGCCCAAGTCAACTCTACATATGAAATAAGAGAAATTCCAAGAACCTATAGCGGGAGCGCAAGACGAGTATTACTAACTCTCCAACGAAATCCGTCAATCTCTGGGGCTTATAGGAGTCTATAATATCAAAATTGAGGTTGCTCTCTGAGAAGAATGGGGATGGATTATGGGACGACGGAAAACAAGCTGGCATTCAAAAGATAACAAGCATGTGAGTATCGTGCTTAGGAGCATAAGTGGCAGACGCAAAACGTACCGTCGGTATATAGACAGTAGACGATCATTTAGCGAAGAGTTACTCCATATGCACAAAGAAAAGAGTACTATAGATACTCTTGCTAGCATAGGAACAGATTTGTACCTTCACGGTGATACTGGGATGTTCTGTTGGGATGCTTATTGACGAAGAAACGAGCACGAAGGGCAAGGATTCCTCTTGTCATTGCTTAGGATATACTCCTTTGAGTCTTGTTGCTTTGGCTGGTTCTACTGAGTCGATCGGGACTACTGACATGGCTGCTGGTGCCATGGATAAAGCACAATTGATGTATCTAAAGCAAAAGCATACTCTGGACTTTAGGCCTCAAGCTAGATAATAATCCTCTACGAGAACTGGTTGATTTCTTCAAACCCCGTTCGCTTATGTCAGCTTCTCAGTCACAGAGTCGTTATTTTCGAACGTTCCATTGTTCACAGTATGATTCACAAGAGGAGTAGTCGGTACTATTCCGGGCAAAAGTGCTGGAGGAAGAGGATATGTTGAGGCGATGTATACTCTGTCAGATTTGAGTACCGGTTTCCTTGTCGTGTCGTTTTCCTACTGTATATACACTCGACCCAGGAGCGGATTCGGACTACACCTGAAAGGAAAAGCGAATTCTATGAAGGAGCCCCTACAGTACCGCGAGATTGACCGCACAGTGAATTGAAATTGACAATACACTGGAATCAACAGACTAATCGTAGTTACAGAGTATGCGTAAAGAGGGGGAAGGATGTCGACCGGGACACCGGAAGGAGCAGGTAAGAAGGTACTGTACTTACGACCATCCGGGATGGAGTTTGTGGACATATTATTGAAACAAGTAGGGTAGCGGAAGTAAGTCTAACAAGGCATCCAGCGCTCACATGCCAGCCAAAACTTTCAACGACCAGAAACGGGTTTGGTAATTCTAACACTTACTACTTGCTTCTGCTACCCCTTGACAACCTTGCTAACTTTGTATTCCACCGTGATCTTGCCGTCCTCAAAGATGAAACGGCCTGCAGCGACAAAAACCATGGTCTCGAGGGACTTAAACTTAGAAGAACCGGTCTAACATCATAAGTATACTTTCAGCTTTGGAATGATGATACATACCTCAAATTGGAAAGTCACGACTATACATTTAATTTAGTGAGCGCGAGGATTAGACACCAGAACAGATCACATACAGGAGTCCCCCCAAGGAGTTGTTTCTGCATCCGATGAACCTGTGAGTACTTTGACTACTGCAGGAGTCAATACGACATTTCCCTGATAATACATGGCCAGAAGCTTTTACGATTAGTAAGAGAGAGATCCGTCAGAGTCTTAGAAAAGACAAGGTACATACTGCGCCGTCCTTGTCCCTATAGTAGATGGAATCAGCTTATATTGAACCACTGATCAGATAATATTCTTTACCTCAGTTGAGACCGAACATCAAGTCGCATATGTTCACCAGATGCATCGTTATGTATATAATCGTAACCGACACCATGTCTACCGATATCAACACACGTGAACGGCCTTGGTTAAATGAAAACGGGCGAGTAGACGTACAATTCGGCTTCAATTGCAGGTTCAAACCCTGGCTCAGACTTGACTGTGCCTCCCACCATGGGCTGAAGTATATTTAGATTATAGCTCATAGAAAATACCTTACCCGAGTATTCGCAGCTGCATATATACTTTTACCATTGGAATGTAGCGAGATTTAACCTACCACAACAGACAACGGAGTCCCCTTGGATGCAGAACCTTGATTCTTTCAGCTACAGCCGTCTAACGAGGTAATCATCTAAGTATTTGCTTACCAATTTGAAAGGGAGCATCGATCAAGACCTACAGCCGTGTCAAGTCTCGATATATGAAAGATTCGAAAAATCAAACCCTACCCTGACTGTAAAAGCCGGTTGAAGAGCAGGATAGTCTGTCATCACGAAGGTTGTACAATCTTTCTATAATTCGATCTACCCCTGAAACTGGAAAATAGTGATACAATGCTTAAAGACAGATAGACGGACAAATAAGTATATACTGATATATATAGAGGATGCGGAACATTGAAGAATGTCGAAAATTGGGTCATGTCGTTGAGTGATTTCTCATCATCCCCGCCTCCAAATTCTACTTAGCCTCGAACCTTTTCCCCCTTTTCTCCGAACCTACATTATTAAGCCTCCCTCCGAAAACTGGGAAAGACCAACGCGTCT